CTACGTGTTGCCGTGCTCCTTCGCAAAAAGCCACCCAGCTCCAACCGCATTCCAGTCTCAGAGCCTGGTGACTACAGGCAACAAAGCTCCTGACCCCAAAGGACCTCTGAGGTTTACCAGTCCCACCACTGCTGTCTGCAGACACTACCGCTGTTGCGTCACAGCTGTCCCCACACAGACAAGTGAATATGTTTTAACAGCACCATATACTTCCATGGAGCAACCCGGCTGTCTTTCAGAGTTAGCAAAGCTAAAAATGTAATTCCTGTTACTTGCTTTGTTTTGCAAGGAATTAATCATGGTCCTCTAGACGAGAGGGAAGAAAAAACCTATAGCTACTACCTAGGAGTATCAGCACTTAACTGAAACCACATATGGCGTAGCATCTTCTTTTTGACTTTGTTAATTTACTATTTTTTTAAAAATACAGATGGAATATTAGTTATGTAATGCAAATAAAATATAAGACTGCTCTAACTGTTATGCTAACGAGCTAGAAAGTACACTTAGGGTTTGCAGCGATTTTACAGACAGTTACTGTATGTAAAGAATAAAAGACATTCTAGAATTCAAATGTTATCCTTTTGCCTGCAAGTTTTACAGGCTTCAATGCAAGTTCTTGTTCAGGTTAGCCTATCTGCTAACGAACCTTATACACGTCATTCTCAACTATTCGTATTCAGTCATCAAATGTACAAACAGTTCTCTTAGCAACTAATTTGTAATAATAGTACTTAAGTGCACAATTTTCAGCTTTCTAATAGACCGTCCAATTTCCTTTTGCTTTGTCTGATATTCAAAAATCACTAAAAATTGATGTAATAAAAAAGAATTGCACTCAGCAGTCTCGTTCACATAAAAATATAGAAGCAACGACATCCTAAGATTAAAAACCAGCATTTTTGAGACCTAAGATTACTTTGTAGACACTACCAAAACACAAAATAAGAGCATAATTTGCAAAAACGTGACGCATTTCAAGGTGAAAACCAAAACACAAGTAGTTTTTAAGACTTACATAAAACCTGAACTTGTCAAAATCACAATGAACTCGAAACCATCAATTTTAAGGAACATCCACCAAAACCGGAAGCTACTGGGATAACCCCGATGTGCAACACACTGTGACGACTAAAAGGTCACTGCAGGGAGGTCACTGCAGGACCGAG